GAAGGCGTCGCCGCCGCGCCCCACGTGCAGCGTGTGTCGGAAGTCGCCGAGCGGCGCGGAGATGGAGAGGGCGCCGCGCTCCGGCCGCTTCTTGGGCTGCGCGGGGCCCAGCTGCTTCAGCACCGGCATCTGCGGGGGAGGGGCGGGTCAGCGCGGCCTCGGGCCGGGGCCCCTTTGCGTGCCGCGCCCCCAGCCCTGCGTCTACCTGGCCGTCCCCAGGACACTCTCCACAGGGGCAGGATCGTGGTGGGGAGGGGGGGTTACGCGCACTTTACATGTGGGGAAACTGAGGCTCCCAGAGCCCCCCCCCCAAGTCATATCTCGGATTCAACTTTGGGTCTGGTTCCCCTAGAAACTAACACTGGAAGTTCCTAGAGGCCAGGCAACCGGCAAGCCTCTGGAGAGCTCCCAGACTGGACAGAAAGCCCGCCTGGGGCTCCTGAGCCCAGGGCTGCGGGCCCAGCGAGCGCAGCGGGCGCGGGGCCTGCGGGCCGCGCACTTCCGCAGGCCGGGGAGAGCGCTGACATGTTTCATCAGTTTTTAAGTGTCCGGATTATATTTGTGTTTATCCCAACGCCGTGGTAAAATGCGACTTCATCTACAGGAAGCGGCCGGCCTGAGGACTCTGCCTGGGGGGCTTCGGGTGGGCCTGGGGACCTGCATTTAGGCGCAGTGCGTCCGAATGAGAACGACCGGGTTTTGACAGACAAGAGGATGTCCCGCCTTTCGCAAGGCGATGGTACTAAGGCACATTTCTCTACCTTAAAAGACTGGCCCAGTGGCGCGTGTGAAGCGGGCAGCGCCCGAGCTGTAAGCTAGGTGTCCTCCGGCCACGTGGGCACACAGGGTCCATGCTACATGGGCACGCCTGCCAACCTTTGCCCACATCCTGTAAGTTGGCTGCTTTTATGAAACTTCTGGGAGGGCCCTTGATGACCTTATTAACAGGCGCTGTTACAACGGAGGCCGTCTGTTAGAATTGAGGCCGCACCCTTTGCCAGCCCTATGGACTGGGACAGGTGGCAAGGCCCATCTGTTTCTGTCTGTGAAATGGGTAAAATGCCACTAGCTTCCTTCCGCGGCGCACGGAACCGCTCAGAGAAAACTACACGGAGAACTTTATTCGTAAGGGCGCCGGCCGATTGGTAGTGCTGGTGTGGGGGAGCCGGGTCTGTGCCCCCAGACGATCACGGAGGAACAAGCTTTAGATCTGATGGGCTCCGATGGGGAAGGCCAGCCAGCACCCTGGGAAATACCAGTGATGACGCAGCGAAAAAGTAAAGCCCATAAAGCCCAAGCACTTGAAAATCGTAGCCCGGCCGGTTGTGGGACGTGCCCTCCCCCTGCGCACACACACACACTCTCTGCATTTACCTTCCCGGGAGAACCAGGCCCGCCTCACCACCCGGGCAGTGTTTCTCAGGCCTCCCTGACCTCAACCCAGATAAATAAATATGTTTTTATTGCAATCAGCGCAAACAATTGCCACTCCTCCCCTCTGCCCTCCACGTAAGGGGGAAAAAATGCACAAAACAAGACTGACTGTTATAACCTGCTAGGCACCTGGATATTTTCAATTCTGATCTTTTTTTTTTTTTTTAAGGCTGACCTAGCCCTGGCCAGTGTTGCTCAGTGGTTAGAGCGCCAGCCCGAGTACTGAAGGAACCTGGGCTCGATTCCCGGTCAGGGGCACACACCTGGGTTGCAGGTTCAATCCCTGCCCCCGGCTGGGGGCTCGGGGCAGGCAGCCAACCGGTGTGTCTCATGTTGATGTTTCTCTCCTCCCCCCTCCCTCCCACTCTCTCTAAAAAATTAATGGCAAACATATCCTCGGCTAAGGATTAACAACAGCAAAAGATGCTGCGCTCTCAGTGCCCAGCATTACTCTCCTGTGAGTTACAGGTGGAAAGAGCCGAGCTCAGGAAGCCAACTGCCCGGGTTTCGATGCGCCTGTGCCCATCGCCTGTGGCTTTGGGCAAGTTCCTGAACCTTTCTGACCTCGTTTCCTCACCTTGAAAACGGAATGGTACTCACAGGATACATCATAGTCTCTGCAGGGACAGGTGAGACGGGGGCCGGGAAAGTCAGCACAGTGCCCCGCACACAGCAAATGCGCGGTGTGTACCTGCTCCGGGCAGCCCCACCTTCGGTCACAGTCCCACGTCCCAGACCAGGAAACGGACCTCAGGGAGTATGCGGCCTGCCCGCGGTTAGGCAGCCAGCCCCGCGGGGCTGCGGAGTCCAGGGTCACCGCTCCTGCTGCCTCCTGGGCCCCCTCCCAGCCCAGCCCGCCCCTCGTCCCACCCGCCAGAGCCCTGGCCGGCGAGGGCACCGCCACTTCCCAGCACCTGGCGGCGCCGCAGCGCCTCTGTTTCCGACATCAGACGCACCTGGGCCGCTATTTCCTCTGCAGTCCCCCGAACCCACCTCCTCAACCCTAAACCTCGGCTGGCGGAGCTGAAACCAGGACTCGGAAGTCGGCCCGCAAGGGTGGCCGCTTACTTCCCAAGCGCTCCTCCTGGCCCCGCAGACGGCCCAGCTCATGTAATCCTCACGTCATCGCCCCCCCGACCAGCCTTCCTGCGTCACAGGTGTGGTGGCTGAGGCTCAGAGAGGTGGGGCCCCTTGCCTGGGTCACACAGCAGCGACGCCGGGGCTGGATCTGGGAGCCAGCAGAGGAGCTGCCGAGTCCACACCCATAGGATGGGGGGGAACAGGGTGGGCGGCTGCATCCCCGCGGAAAACACGCTGTTTGGATTTGCTACAAAGGCCAGGGGTTTCCCACACCCCGTTTCCTGCCCCGCCCCCTCCAGATGAGAACAATGATGGAAATGGCTTTTGGTTTGTTTTGACACCTCTCGGGTCAGCTCAGGGGGCCGAGACCTTCGCTTCTCCGAGCCTCCTGCCCTCTTTTCTTTTAAAATTACTGACTGATCTGAGAGCGCGCGCGCGAGACGCCGCCCTTGTCCCACTTGCCCACCCCACCGCCTGAGTCCCGTACGTGCCCTGACCGGGATCGAACCCGCGACCTTGGCGCACGGGGAGGACGCCCTAACCGCCGGCCCGGCCTGGGCTCCTGGCTGCCAAAGACGTGGAGGCTCCAGCCTCCCTCCGGCGAAGCTGTGCGCCCCTGCGGTGAGGACCGGACCAGAAAAAGCCGTCCCCCGGCCAAGGCGCCTACAGAGGGGCCCTTGTTTGTGACGAGCGTGACGCGGGCAGAGGGGCAG